ATACATTGCCCAGTCACTGAAATGTTTTCTTTGCCCTTCCCTATCATATTTCTTATCACCCTCCTCTCAAGAAATGCTTTTAATGCCAGAGTATGCCATATGTACTTATTTACTTAGAATGAGATTTTTATAATGAATACAAGATAATAATGGATTTAATACATCAATCTACTGAAAGTCCAACTTTCTACAACTATTTTAAGACATCTTTTACATAACTCTTTCTCTTGTTAAGAATATTTACAACCTCTTTCAGACAGAAAAGCACTCCTATTTTTTTCCAGAAACCACATCCTAAAACCTTAAACTTTTTTTTAAAGCTATTCTTTTTGGTGTAAATGTATAATCTAATTCTCTTTTTCCTCCACTCTTTCTCAGTTCCCACATTTCTTTCTTCCCCCACTCTTACTTTATATATTTAGGTCTTTTCTTTAACTGTTCTATAATAAAGAACTGGAAAACGTTTTATTGAACTTATTGACATGCTTATTCAAGAGTTTTTATTTCTTATTCTTTTTCATTAAATTTATTGGGGTGGCACTGGTTAATAATATCATATAGGTTACAAGGGTACATTTCTACGATACGTGATCTGTATATCGCATTGCGTGCCCACCGCCCAAAGTCAAATCACCTTCTGTCACCGTATGTTTGTCCTTCCTTTACCCTTTACTACACCCTCCTCCCCCATGGTCACCACCATACTGTTGTCTGTGTCCATGAGTTTCAGTTTTATATCCCACACATAAGTGAAATCATACAGTTCTTAGCTTTTTATGGCTGACTTATTTTGCTTAGCAAAATATTCTCAATTGTATTTTTTATTCTTAATTTCAAAAGTGAATAAACAATAATTGGCATATTCTTTCCAAAATAAAAAAAATCTTCCAAATTTTCTTCAAAAGCTAATTGGAGCTCTTAACTTTGACCTCACCATAAACTGTTTCCTGGAATGTTTTTAAGTGTATACATAAAAATTTTTTAAGATATAGCATTACACAGAAATCCAATTATAATGAAATTTAATTATTGGAAGTAAACGAATGTAGACTCCAGTTAAGAACCTCATTTCAAAAACCTTCAAAAAACAAAAGTTGAAATACTGCTGAATTAACTAATGCTTTAACATCACAGACTGTTGTATGACAGTAACCCTGCATGGTAAATACTATTCTCTTCATGACATATACCTAAGAGGCTTAAAGAAGCTCAGAAAGATACACCAGTTACACGGCTACCAAGTGGCAGAGTTGAGCATTGAACCTTTCTCCAAGGTCCAGATTTTTAATCATTTAATCCTTCTCATTGCCACTGGCACTATTCATAAAATTAGGAGTTTTCTTCACTCATTCCTAGCCACCGAAATGGTTTCTCTAACTCTGAATCTTTTCCTATGCATTGCAACTTCCTCGACACTCCCCTGGCCCACATGATTGAGTCTAGGTTCTGGAATCAGGAATTCAAGACCCTCAGCAAGCCACCTGTGTCTTAACGAAAGAACCACAGAAAACGTAAGACCAGCTAGTCTTCTCCCACTGCCAGCCCTCATTAGTGTCCTTAGTCCTGACCGGAACGCCTTCTGCTACCTACCATTGCCACCTACCTAAAATCCACTCATCCTTCCAGGCATAGCTCAATAAATACAATCTCCATCTCCAGCTGGAAGTGATTTTTCTTTCCTCTGCATTTGTATCACTTCATAATTATAGCAAGACATGTATTAAACATCTTCATGAAATATAATTATTTGTGCCAGTTGTTTTTTTTTTCAATTCCTCAAATATATCATGCTCACCTTGTCATCATACCTATGCTGGATTCACGGCCTGGAACATTCCTTTCAGTTCTTTTCCCTTGTCTAACTTCTACTTTTCTTTCAAGCCTTGGCTCACAGGAGACTTCCCCAAGAAAGCCTTCCCCACTGCCCCCACCCCTACCCTGGACCAAGTGTCCTCAGTGGACACCAACTCATCACAGCCCTGAGGTTGCTAATGGGCTATTTATTATCTGCCTGCCCCCTAAAAATCTTACCAGAGACTCCATTTATTTCACCCATGGTTGTATTGCAACCCCTAGCATAATACCTGCCATGTAGCTGGAACATTTTTAAATGAATTTACAATTATATTTCCTTATTATCCTGTCTGATTAATCCAGATATAAATTTCAAAGAACAGGACTTTGCAATTAGTACTAATTAAATAATTGTTGGGTGAAATGATTCTTGTGGGAAATGACCTAGATTAATTATCTTACATCTTCAAACAATATGGATTAAACAGCATAACAGTATAAATATGAACACTTGATAATGTCTTTAAATGAAATATTTATTCCTGTTTTCTGTATAACATGCCTACAACCCAAGCATGTTATACAGAAAACAAAGATAAATATTTCAAATCCATTTGAATAAATGTGTTAAAACAACTGAATCAAACATAGAAGCCCTGTTTGAATTATTGCAAACCATTTTAATTCATTATTGTCATCTGCAGCTATCTGCATTCCTCAGTTGTTATCTATCTGTACTATAAAGCACTACACTCCAAATTATCTAGGTTCTTTATCACCTGGGACCATACTCAGTACTCTTTCAAAGTACCAATTGATGTTCATAAGCAAACCCATTTTGCCAATTTACAGCCTTCATTCTCCCACCATGGAGCTTTTGTCTTCTTTCTACAATCTATAAAATTGCTTATCTCACCTAGAGGGTACTAAACTAAGTGAAGTAAGTCAGTCGGAGAATGACAAATACCACATGATTTCACTTACGTGTGGAATCTAAAGAACGACATAAACAAAACAGAAACAGACTCATTTGCCAGATGCAAAGGGGGTTGGGGGGCTTGATGAAAAGGAGGAAGGGACTGAGAAGTACAGATTCGTAGTTACAAAACCGGCATGGGGATATAAAGTGTAACACAGAAAATACAGTCAATAATATCATAGTAACGATGTATGGTGTCAGGTAAGTACTGGATATATAAATAGGCAATTCACAGGATATACATGGCCCTAACAAATATATAACATACTTAATTTTACTAATTAAAGAATTGCAAATTAAAATAATAATGACATTTTTTTCTTAAGATTGTTTTTTATTTTTTATTTTTTTTAGAAAGAGAGGAAGGGAAGTAGAAAGGGAGAGAAACATTAATGTGTGGTTGCCTCTGATGCATCCCCTACTGGGGACCTGGCCCGCAACTCCGGCATGTGCCCTGACTGGGAATCAAACCACCAACCCTTGGGCTCACAGGCAAGCACTCAGTCCACTGAGCCACACCAGCCAGGGCTAACACTTACTTTTTTTATGGTAAGAACATTTAATATTTACTCTCTTAGCAACCATCAAGTATATAATACAATATTGTTAACCATAATCACCATGCTATACATTAGACCCCCAGAATTTAGGATAATATACAGGGTGGGGCTGAGACTCATTTATCTGTTCCGTACGGACTGAAAAAAAAAAGAGTTCTCACCTCCAGGGTTGACAAGAGCACACCTTTCTGTAAGAATGGTAAATAAAATAGATAGCTTTTCTGGAGAACAATCTAGTAAGACAAGTTAAATATAAGTAATATGCATATATTTTGACCCTGATATTCTACTTCTATGTACAGAGTGGAGCAAAAGTAGCTTTACAGTGGTTCATATAGGAAATAATACAATAATTAATAAATAATACAAGAATAAACTGTTTTGTATGCTCACAATTACAAACCTACTTTTGCCCCACCCTGTATATTATCCTATAAAAACAAAAGATATATGTAAAAGATGTATGTATACATCTCATGTGTATATGTATGTATAGAGTTTCATGGCAGAATTATAGCAGTTAAAAAAATAAGAAAAAACTACAAACCTATTGATAAGGGACACATTAAATGCAGTCAGTTGGAATACTATGTAGGAGTAAAAACAGACATGGTAGAATTTTATGTGCTGACATGTAAATAATACATCATTACAAGAAACAAAAACTCACTGCAGAATAGCATGAATATATTGACACATTTCATGTTAGAATCAACCCAGTTCATTATTACATGGATACTACTGAGTCTACTATAAAATTTTTATATTATTCACAAACATGTCAAGATTGCAATTGAGAATCTGTGGTTATATGATCCTATCAGGCTCTTCCAGCTTTGAAATTCTTTAATTCTCAGAACTCTGTACAGCACAGATCTTGGAAACTGTTATTACAAGGCCCCGATGGGTCTCCTCTATATGTTTAAGTGCACTTCATCAAAATGCAGTATGAAAATGCTACAAAGGGTCCAGACTTTTAAACCTACTTTGCGAAATTTGGGTAGTCCTCGATTATCAACAATTCATATTGAATACATTCATTTTGGAGAAATCACAAATTATAACCACCTCTTACCATTATAGCTTGAAAAAAACTAAGAAAGATAACAAGCCTTTGAACATTTAAAGAGCTAAATAACTGTAAACTTTGCTTATATGGTACTCTTAACCTAAAAATGCTGACTGTCAATCAAGTCTCATCAGAGGGCCATCAGAGACAGCAATGGGGCCTCTTTCTATTGGGCAGGACTGACATTTGTAGTCAAAACACCTGGGGATGAAAACCACTCTTTGGGCTCCAGAATCCCAAGCAAATCAAATAAGCTACCTGAGCCTCAACCGCCTCATTTGTAAAATGAAGAAGAGCATATTAAAAGTATTATATATGTAACACATGAAAGGTGCCTATTACTGTGCCTGGACAAAACAGGTTCTCCAATACTTCTCTAATGGAAATATCTGCATCACTGTTGCTTTTGTTAAGGTATCTAGTTTCTTCCCCTGAATTTTTATGACACTCCATGTACAAGTATTCTATTTAATTTTTATACTACACCTGAGAAAGGGGTTTCTTGCCCCCTCAAAAGCCTATTTATTGGCATACTCTTTTCCACTATAAATATGTAAAAAGGTGTTATCTCAGAAACGCAGGGAGAAAGCATACTTACAAAGCACACCCCCAAATCTCCGAGTCGCTCTCCGCTGAGCTCAGTGCTCTTCTCAGGCACGTATGTCTGCCTCCTATCATTTCTTCATGAGGTTCGGGGCAAAAGGCCTAGTCAAGTAGATGATCTTTGCTTGCCCCTACACTCTCCCCAAACCACCTACAGATAAATAAAACAAGGGGTAAAACACACCCACAACCTTAAATTGTTTTAAGTCATGTAAGATGAAAATAAGCTCATCCTCACTACGTACAGTTTATGGTATATCAGAGAACAGGGGAAATACTCCTCGGGTCATGCAAAAACCTCACTGAACTCCAAGTTCTTCACATCCAAGTGCCCAGCCAGCCTACTCCTCACTGGTTACTTCTGCCCATGCCTGGGGCTGGCTAGATCACACAGTGTAAACGGTAGCCCAAGTCTAGCTAAAAGTACTCTGTCTCTGCATGTCTATCAGTGGGTGACTAAGCCAGGTAATGAATTTAACATGTTACTTCTGAATTTAATGACCCAATTGAATTTCTAAGCCAGTTAATGCACTATATGTTTGTTACCCTTAAAGGAAATATTTTATAAGCTGCCCAGATCTTCCCACATCTAGCATTGCAATTAAATAAGTAAAATCCCTTTGCTTGTAAGAAAGAGCTGTGGACAGAACTTATGTGGACTGGTTTTAAAGCAGTCTGTAGGGATCCACAGAAAGTCATCCAGAGAACTGGTAGTTGTCCACATAAAGAGTAGAGCTGGGACTATATCTATAAACCACTTCAAGAAAAAAAAGTAATCTGGAAAAGTTAATCAAAATAAACCGTGCAGAGTTCAAAGTGACACGTCTTAAAATGGCAGAGAGGACATGCTGAGAACACACAGGTTTTACGCCTACCTAGCTCTCCGAGCAAAGCAGTAAACCCTTTCCCCGTGAGCTGAGTTACAGGCACTCCCCAGTTTCTCTGTCCCAATATGAAGCTGCCACAGTTTTAATCTTCAATCTATACTGCACAATACCATAGTCACTAGCCGTATGTGGCTACGGAGCTCTTGAAATCTGGCCAGTTTGAATTCACATGTGCTCTAAGTGCAAAATACAAGATTTGAAAGACTTAGAACCATTTAAAAAAAATCTTTAAGTCTTTAAAATATCTCAGTAAGTTTCAGATTGACTACATGTTGAAATTAACACATTTGCGCTGAATAAATTATTGAAATTAATTTCACCTTTTTTTTTACTGGTATAACATGGGTACTAGAACATTTAAACTTCTGTGTGTGGCTCACAAATATTTCTTTTTGACACCACTGTTCTGTATAATTAATAAAAATAAATAAAAAATACTGAGCACTTGCAATGTGCCAGGCCCTGTGCTAGATACTTTACAAAACGCCTGAAACAACGCTCCAAAGCGGTTCTACAAGAAGTCTGGGGAAGTGACTGAGCCCCGTCAAAACGTGCCGGGTGTTTCCACGAAATAACTCAAACCAGGGACTGTTAACGTTGTGGCAACTCCCACGCTGGCATAGGAAAGACTGATAGAGCGTTCCCAGAGTAGCAAACTTTTGTGACTACAGATCAGGTACAAAGCGGCAAATTATCTCCCAGGCCCGGAAAGTAACCTCCAAAACGAGGCCAATCTCCTTGACAGCTCAGGCTTCGTAGCTGCTAATGGCAAGACAAGCCACTCGCGAGAGGACAACGATGTTCAAATTCCCTGGATAACTTGGCAAAGACGCCGAGGGAGGGGGCGTCTGGAGGCCAGGCACGCCGTCTCTCCCGACCTTGGCGCACACTCCACCCAGCCACGGCCCCACTCCAAATCTCCGCGCGGCCACTGTCCCCACCCGCGGGACAAGGAGAAGTGGGACTTAAAACATCTACAAGACAGGGAAGTGGTAAAGAAAAGGCCAGGGGGCGGTTGGGGAAGGTACCTGAGATAGAGGAGAGCCCCAGATCCCTAATGCCGGATCATCGCCGAGGGCCTGCCCGGCTCCCACGGCCGCCTGTGACCGAGAAGCTGCTACTGACCCGACGCGGCGGCGCAACCGACAGTGCTCTACCCAGACTCGCAGCTATGGCAACTTGAACTAGCCGCCCAGCCGCAGCGAGTGTACCGGACCCCACTGCTGGCGCTTGGCCCTCTGGGAGTTGTAGTCCGTATCCTCCCCTAAAGCAAGGAATTATTAAGGGACAGAAACCCCAAGAAAAACGGCAAGTCCCAAGATGCCATACGACTCTTTGCTGGTGACTCTCCCGGAAGAAGCTGCGTTAGTTGCCACCTGAGGCCCGAGGACGCGCCCTGTTGCCCTGTTGTTTTTGTTTTTTTAAAGGGCCATACTCTTATATAGACGACAAACACTAGAGAGTGAATTAGAAAGCTGCTTTGACCCAGACTACTATTTAATCGAAAAGTCTAAAATCTATTTTACAATTTTAAAAAGAAAAAATCAAAGTAGTTGTGATACTGACATAGACTGCCTTTCTGTTGTTCCTCGGGGAAGAAGCTGGTGTAATTTCTAGCAGTGATATGTAAAGATCCCCTTACTACCAGAGCCTAATGTCTTGTAGCTCACAAATTCTTAGAATTGTAAGGGAACAGAGAAGGTTATCTAGGCAAACATTTTAGGCCTGGGTATAGTAAGTGACTCGCGTAAGATCTCGTAGCTCATAAATGACAAACCAAAAATGAAATATAAGTATGTCACTTCATGGCTGCTGTTAGGGTATCATCTCCTGACTATTTCTGGAACATGACAGAGACATATTCCACTCAGAGAAGTTGGTTTCAATCAGGAAAAGGTCATTTTTAAAAACCTCAACAAAAAACTGAGCTTTGGAAAGGCTAAGAAGTGAAAATCCAAATTAGTCACAAAGATGGTCCTTTCCTTCTGCTTTGTCAAAAATGCCATTGATGTTTTCCTCCTCGAGCCTAAAAGGAAATTTTACTTTATCTGTGAAGATTTCCTGTTCCTCAAGAAGAGCTAGGTCACATTAAATGACACAGGTTCCCTATTCTAATAAATGTGTGCTGTAATGATCCATTTCCCAGCTGCGCCCTTACATTAGATTCTATGCCTTTCAAGGGCAGGGACCTAACCTTTTAAAATTCGCGTCCTGCCTACATACCTCCTTTCCCCCCACCCCCCACACACACATGCACGTACGTGCACACATAAATAATTACAATATATCATAATTTGATATGTCAGAATCACTCAAATATTTTCTCTGGTTGGCCAACACTGGGAGGTAGATGTTATAACCAGTTTGAACATGAAATAATTATTTTAAGGACTTACCTATGTAGTTGCATCTATCTTCAAGTTGCTTGCTCACAGCAGTGTTCAAGAATGCACACCACCTGACACAAGTATGAACATAACTAATAACAGCCATTAAATTGTCACATACGCATGCAGAAGCTTAACAGTAACTTCATTTATTTGTTAACATTTTAACTTTTTCAAAACAATTGTACTCTTTCATTTAATTCAGCAAATGTATGCTGAATTTTTCTAGGATCCAGACATTATATTAGACACTAGAAATGCAGTGAAAATGAGGAGATAACATGTTCCTCCTCATTTTCTGCTCTCATGTTGCTCAGAGATAAGAAAATATGGAAAAGAGCAAAATTTTTTCGTTTTGGTTTTTTTTTTTTTTGATTCCCCCAAAATCAAAGGGATTCCTGGCTGGGGATGTGATAAGAAACAGAGAAGAGGGTCCCAAAGCGGGCAGCAGAGAGCTCAGGGGGAGGCAGGTGCTGATCTGGCTGGAGGAAAGCCCATGGCGGTAGACTGCTCTGCCTCTATTCCAGCAAGTGCTGTTCATAGTCTCAACCTAACTGTCCTCCTATTGCCATGAAGGGAGGACAGCCTGTATTTTTCCCAGTGATTGTCCAGCACAAGCAAAAACCATCTGTACCATTTGACATTGCTTGGGTCCATCTAGGCGCCACAGATGGTCAAGCCTCCTTCTAATATCACCAGACAGTTATAAGTAGTAAGAAGGAAGATAGAGCACCAAAGTGTGGATGCTATGCGTAAGGTTAAAGAGAAATCCCCAACATCCTAATGGAAACTACCCAAAATTCTCTCTGAACCAAGAGAGTAGTGAAAGCCACTCTGTTTACACCAGCACAAAACCATCCTACATGCTTTTGACTCCTCTTGCATCATCCTTTCAAGCTAACTGCAAATCTAGAAAAGTCAAAATAAGAAACAAAATATTGCAAAGATGGTATTGCCTGCTGCTCAAAGAATCACCTTCAGCCATTCATTATGCACCATTGATCCCATAATATTCTTTTCTGCTACATAGTTACTAATTGTAAGTATTTGTCACTGTCAAGAGCTTCACAAATATAAAACACAGCAATTTGTTTGCATTTAGGTCAAAATGAATAACTATTAATGTACAAACTTAAAACTAGAAAACATTTTTGTAGCTAAGTCATATAGCCTAAGCTCTACATTAATAGGTATTTTCGGGGGGCGGGGGGGAAACAGAGGAATTCATTGCTAAATGCTACTTTCTGATATCTGGACCATGCTAATGATTCTTCAAGGAGGAAGAAAATGTAATGTTCTTAGCTGTTCTCATTTATCTGTTATCTTTAAAAGCATTTTTTGTGTTTAATGGATCTGAGTGCAAACACTTTTAAACTGATGCATCTTCTCATGTTTATTTGCCCCAGTTTAAAAGTTATGCTAAAGAAAGAAAGTTGCCTTACTGATCATCATAGCAATTTGTTGAGGAGGTTATTAGAACATGGTTATCCTGAAGGCTTGATCCACTTTCCTGAATTGCAACTGGTAGACGTAGGCGATTTTACCTACATTATGATAACCACTAAGCCAATTTCATGATTAAAATGTTACAGATTTTGGCATGCCACTTATGTGTCCAGCAAAGATGGACTAGCATAGAAGCAGAGAGCAGATTTTCCCTCCCACCAGAATTTTTAAAAAGAAAAACAGGCAAAATATATGAAACAATGCTTTTAAAGACAAGAGACACCAGATAAAGGAGAGTGATCCCTAAAGGACAGAAAACAAAAAAATGTAAGCCTCATGATCCCCACAACTTCCCATCTTGAGAGAATTTCCAGACCATGACTCAAGGGGAAGGAACCCAGGCAGAGCTCAGTGGGTGTTTTGAATTGAGAAGACATAATGAGAGTTTGGGAAGACCAATGTAGCTGGACAAACCAATTCAGGAAAAAGAGCTACATAAAGAGAATACTCCAAAGAACTATGAAGGGTCTCCTTGGAGTATTCAGCAGAGTATGTGAAGAAACTGAGGCTGGAGAAAGAAGCATCTAACAAGATTGGAGGAAAAGTGCCCTTCGCTCACACAGCACCAGGAATAGTGATTATTCCGACCAGCCAGATGGAAACACTTCATTCATGGAGTATTATGCAGAGCACTCAGAAGAGTCCTGCCTCAGGAGGGGGGAATAATTAGTGCCAAATTAAATGCTACTCTGGCCCCACTCACAAGCCTTGAAAGCAAGACCCAAAAATATCAAACGGTTTCCAAGTGATTTAACCGTATCTGATAACAAATCTCAAGAATATTTCTATGAAAACAAGTAATCCAGTACCAAAGAGGTAAAATTTACAATATCTCTAATCCTAGTAAAGATTATCAGGCGTGAAAGAAGAAAAATGCAACTCATTTTAAGGAGAAAAATTAGCCAGCCCAAACTTACCTGAACTGATAAAGATGTTAGAATTACCAAACAAGGACATTGTGAGGGGTTGAATTGTGTCCCCCCAAAATATATCTTGAAGTTCTAAATCCAATACTTGTGATGTGTCCTTACGTGGAAACAGGGTCTTTGCAAATGTTCAAGTTAAATTGAGGTCAGACTGAAGTAGGATGAGCCCTAATCCAGTGACTGGTGTTTTATAGGAAGAGGGAACTTAAGACACAAAGACATGCAGAGACAATATCTTGTGATGACAGAGGGGGGAAGACTGGGGTGATGCAAGCCAGGGAACACCAAGGACTGCTGGCGACCATCAGAAGCTGGAAGAGGCAAGGAAGGAAACTCCCCCACAGCCTTCGCAGGGAGTGTCGCCCTGCCGACACCTTAATTTTGAACTTCTAGCCTCCCAAATTGTGACTGGATTAATTTCTGTTGCTTTGTATGTGGTACTTTGCTACAGCAGCCCTAGGAAACTAATGCAGACAACAGAAGCGTGTCAGACGTCAAAAGTTACATAGAGAGAGAGAAAACATGAAAAAGGCCCGAAGTGAACTTCTAGATGTGAACACTTCACCTGACATAAAAAATATATTGATGGAATTACTGACAGATGAACTGTTTCAGAAAAAAATGAATACTGGGTTTGAAGATATAGCAAAAGAAACTGTACAAAATGAAAAACAGAAAGAATTTTTTCATAAAAAAAGCATCAGTGAGCTTTTTGTAAGACAATTCCAGTCAGCCTAATATAAGTGTAATAATTGGAATACCCAAAAAGAGTAGAGAGAGAGATAAGGGAACATAAAAAATATATGGAGAAATAATGGCTGAAATGGTTCTAATAATGATAAAAAACAAAAAAAGGAAAAATTCAAGAACCTCAAAATACTGCATAAGAAATATGAAGAAGAGTAAGTCAAGGCATATGATAGTCAAATTACTTTCAATCAGAGATAACTAAAGCCTTAAAAGCATCCTGAGGGAGAAACAAATCATGTTACAATAGAAAAAAGAAAATTATGATAGAATATTTATCCTTGGAGACAATACAAGTAACGAGATAATGGAGCAATATTTTTTAAGTACTGAAAGGAAAAACACTTTCAATCTATAATTCTGTACATAGCAATGATATCCTTTAAAAATGAAAGCAAAATTAATACTTGTTCAGATACAAAAACAATGGAATAACACATAAGTAGCAGTTTTGTACTACAAGAAATGTTAATGAAAGTTTTTCAAGTGAAAGTAAAGTGATGTCAGTGGAAAATATGGATCTATATTAAGGAATGAAGAACACAA